ATGCATGAAGCATATTCATTTCTTTGTGCAATGGCCCAGGAACGAGAATTAGCTACAGATATTTCTCTTTGATTTTTGCTGCACGATGATATGGAATACCGTCACATGTTACGACTACCTATTTGCGTATCTCACTACTAATACCTAAAATTTTTTTAATATGAAGAAAAATCTTTTCAATATTTGCAGTAGTATTAGGATTAACATCAAGGGGATCGGAAACAAAAATTTCTGGAACGTTAACTCCTTCGTCAGCATGTATTTTCTGAGTAACACTAATCCTTGACGTAGAAGATTGTCAAGCTTCTTTTTCAACATTATATGGTCTAAAAGTTACTGACTGGTCTATCGTGTCTTCTTCTAATTTAGCATGCTGTCTAGACGTTTCTGCTAATGTGAGCAAATGAGATTTACAATCCGGACAAGTTTGCTTTCTGTTGTCAATATTCTTTTTTTTACAATTAGGATATTGTTTGCTATAACGAGTATTCAAGCCTAAATTAGATACAAAAATATCAACTTTATTAGTTAAAGATAATTTTTCTTTACATAATAAATTAAGAATTTCAAAGAGATAAGCATGAAGCTCTTTGTCTATAGCTTCTTGCATTTTAGGCGTAGTTTCGAAAAGACTCTCGTATTGCAACCTATTAAGAGTACTCGATACCCAAGGCATTTTAGTGTGTTGAATATAATTTTGTGATTCTATATTAAAAGCAACAAAGCTAGTAACAATATGAAATATCACCGTGTTGAGTCCACGATCAAGATAATTTTTCTGCCCCCTTTGTTCATTGTTAAACGCTAAAAATAAAAGGCCTTCTGGTAGAGCTTCTTCTTTTTTTGACAATTCATCTAACCAGTTCTGGAAACGAAAATAACTTCCAGAATTTGTGATATGGCTATCGATGTTAATAATGGTTTTTGATCTTGCAATAGAATATTTAATAGCTGATGATATGAGGTTTATTTCCGATATATATTTTTCGTGCCTGAACCCATGCACTAAATCAATAGCCGTAGCCCTTTTGTAAATTTTCTCGGCACTTTCAGAACCTGTATTGGAATTATTATATGTTAGTGTTTCAATAAATTTTACAAGAACCTGATTGCGTTTACTTAGCCACACATGGGGGTTATAGTTAAGTAGGTTTTCCAAAAAAAACCTATGATTATCTCTAATTAAAGCCTCAATATCCCCATATAAAGATTCTCATTCAATTAGTGCAATGTCAGTAACTGCTTGTATGTGCTTATCCTGATCACAATACCGAGAATTCCATTGTTGGAAAAGTTGTTCAGTTATACCATGTTGCCTTTGAAATAAATTATTTAGATAATTTATAACATTATTACGATCATCTAATTCCAACCTCATCTCTGATATAATCTGCTCTCTATCTTCTATTTGCTGTTGCAAATCTGATACCACTATATATTCGTTACTTCTTTGTTCTTCTAGTTTTTGCTGCAATTCAGCAATCGCTTGTTTATACTCTTCTTCGC